TTTGCAAACCCGGGTCGTAACCCGGGTTGTTGTAAGATGACCCCAAACCCGACCCGACCCGTTTGTTAGGAGCACTACGTATAATTTTACTTGTGTAGTGATCCAGATCGTTAATTGAAAACCAACTATATACGTAGCTGACAGCTAGTGACTAATCGATTGGGAAAATTTAACCAATACGAGTTAAACCATTCTAATTATAGCTTCATAGATGTATGCAGATTAGTCAAATAAAAAGAACAATTTAGCAAATATAGATAGCAAATTGATATTATGATTTGATCTCAAGATCTCAATTGGCAGCAGAATGATACGAACGCTAACAAATGTTCCAAATTGCTTTTAGAATTTTAGCGGAGTTCTTTTTAGAAATGTTTCACTATAAATGTAAACGTATTGAATGCGAAAGGTTGGCTGAAACCTATTAGAGACTAGTCTACTTAGCAGGCCCTGATCTGCTTAGTCTATCAAACCATATCCTAAAATTCCGGGTCGGAATTACGGCCGGCTGGGCTGGAATCATCAAAGATCACTCAAATTTTCACAAATGAAAGCAGTAGTAATCGGATGAATTGATTTCTTTGTTGCTAAGCCGACAGCTTAGCTAAAGCTATAAAGACTGTCAGACTCTCTAAATGCAACCCCTAAATGCACAGTCTATGAAAAACAATCCTAAATGCATGATCCTGCTTGACCTCAACTTAGATCATAGATTTTATCTCTTAAAGTTAAATATTAGGTTTTATTACTGGTCTTAGGTTAATTAAGATCAAAAGTTCGGACTGATCCGGTTGATACACACAGTATCAGGTAATTACATAAAATACCTAGACTCTCTATGCATGTAGCTCATGCTGAGTCTAGATTTCCAGTTTCATTTTCAGGATAGTTTCCATCCTTTTTTCTACAAAGCCTCCCAAGTAGTAACTCTAAGAGAAAATCTGTATCAGATTTGTCAGGTTTTCTCATGGTAACATCTAGATGTTCTACACTATATCTTTCTATATTTGGATTTCGTGGTTTCACTAAAGACACTCATATACATAACGATAACGATAATAGCCAATGTTGGCGTTCTATTTCTCATTGGAATTCTATTTCCCTACTGGAATTTTGCTTATCTTACTCTAATTGCTCTATTGCTTTATTGAGAATGTTTAATATTAACCTATATTTTATTACTATAGCTCCTTTTATACGTATACAAATTCTCTGTGGCTCTATTCATGAACCAAAATATTCTATTGGCCAATCCTGATAATAATATCAATGGCAAGGTTATATGATCGACTAAAGGTCGGCCGACTAAAGTTAGTCAAATCGAGTAGAGTCGTTATCGTCATATCCTTAATCGATATTCAACACAGAAGGTAACACGTATTCGTATAGTTTACTATTTAAATGTTATGTTACATGCAACAATGAACTTCCTCATTGATATAGTCTATTTAGAAGATACAATGACATTTATGCATACTCTTCAATATCGTTATTGGTTAGATTGTATCTATTGATAGATTCTATGCAACATTACATAACTGTATAACATCTATGCAGCCAATTCAAATAAATAGAACAAGTGCAATTTCAAACATACGCGTACGTACGTACGTACGTAGATAAGGTTAGCAATTAAAATTTTCTTATTGCCAAAAAAAAAAAACAATAGATAATACGTAACAGTTAATTATTTATTATTTTTGTGAACGAGAATATAATATATAAATTTCCCACTTTCTGTAAGTTTTTTTTCATAAATTTTTATATTTTATGAATTTTTATATTTCATAAAATTTTTATATTTCATAAATTTCTCATTCCCATACATTATAACAAAATGGCAGAATTTTTGTCAATGTTTGGGGCTCTTGTTTCTTGCTATAGCCTAGCACCAGCGGATTATGAAACAATCAGGACACATTATAAAGTAGCATCGCCGGACGATTCTTCTATAGCGACATGTGGTGGATTTCCTGAACCTGTATATAAACCTAAAAATGATTATAATGAAAAAAAAGGTAATTATAAAATTTTTTTTATTGAAGCCTTTTTTGAATCCTTTACAAAAATTAAGTTTGCCAACTTTTAAAACAAAATTAGATTCTCCACGAAAAGATAAAAACAAAAAAAAATCGAAATATACCATTACTCTCAAATCCCCAGTTGGAAAATATCTTCATATTAAAGAGACTGAACAAACTGTAAAAACGACTAAACTGACCAAAGGCAAGAAATTCTGGAAGTCTTTAGTCAAGTCAAAGAACAATCACACAAAGTTAGAAGAACCAAAACCAAAATCTCAATCTAAACTTACTCTTCAAGATGTAGCTAATTGTTTAGAACCCCTTAAACATGTTTCTATCTTGGTTCCTCTTACTCCCCCTTGTTAATAGAAAAATTGTACAATTATTAATACATTTGATATCACCATAAATTATTATTATATATATATATATACATCATTTATAGATAGTTGCAAAGAAAAACCTGGAGACAACATTTCCATGTTTTTCATTGGCATCACTGGTATATTATTACCTTTTTTTGCATCCAATAATAAACTTGTTAATATCGACGATAATTTAACTCATTGCACGTGATGATATAATAGAAGTGAAAATATTAATTCCGTGCTCCAATGTTTCGTGCTTAAACCATATGATAGTAATATAATTAAAGTTATACATTGCAGTAATTGTTTTTTTTTTTAGTAGATTTGTGGAACATAGGTCGAAGTAAGGCAATCGGGAACGTATCACAAATTTTTTACGTTAATTAAGATATAAAACCAATTAATTCCAAAATAGCCCCATTGTACCTGATAATCAACATAAATATGCAATTAACATTAATACCTGAATCCCGGCCATTATCCAATTAAGGAGCGCCAAGCAAAATTATACTGGTTTAAGGACTAAAGCGACATACAGTAAATGCCGCCATCCAAAGTATAATTATTGCGATAAAAGAACAATAGTAAAATAAGAACATTCTATTTGCTATTCAATGCTATTATTTTTGTTAATAGATAGGATTTAGGCTTTTGTACTACCGGTAGTACATTTTAAAAAATTCATAGCACAATCAAAAATAAATAA